TGATAGCTTTCTACTGGATTCCTCTCTGTCCTGCCTTCTCCGATCTCCCAAAGTTCTTTCCCCAACGTGTGATAGCTTTCTACTGGATTCCTCTCTGTCCTGCCTTCTCCGATCTCCCAAAGTTCTTTCCCCAACGTGTGATAGCTTTCTACTGGATTCCTCTCTGTCCTGCCTTCTCCGATCTCCCAAAGTTCTTTCCCCAACGTGTGATAGCTTTCTACTGGATTCCTCTCTGTCCTGCCTTCTCCGATCTCCCAAAGTTCTTTCCCCAACGTGTGATAGCTTTCTACTGGATTCCCCTCTGTCCTGCCTTCTCAGATCTCCCTAATTTCGGCCCTTAATCCTCCAGTGTCTATTTTTGGGAGGTTTTCCCCTCTCTTCCCCCCGCTTCATAGAAGTCCCAAAAATTTGACTGAGTGTGCATGAGTAATGGCAAGTTGGCCATACCAGTCCGATCACATGACTGCCAAGCCACACCCACAAAATAGGCCACACCCATAGAATAGGTTCTAAAAAAAATTGAAACCCACCACTGGAATGGAGTCAGAGGTGGGTTGCTGCCGGTTTTACTACCGGTTCGCAACCTGCGCGCATCAGGCGTGAGCATGCACTGTTCAATATAAATTGTTCTTCACACATGCACAGAACAATTTAAAGTGAATTGTGCATGTGCAGTCTCTGAAATACAAAATGGTGGAGGCCCAGCAGCGGCACGGGAACCAGTTCGGGGGTGTGGCAGGCCTGGGTCACTATCAGTTCTGTGACCCAGTCCTGAATTCCACTATCAGTTCAGCTGAACCGGGCCAAACAGGGAGCTACTCACCACTGAATGAAGTACAGGTAGTCCTCAACCATTCATTTAGTGACTGTTTGAAATTACAACAGCATTGAAAAAGTGACGATTGTTTTTCACATTTGCGACTGTTGCAGCATCTCTCTGGTCACATGATCAAAATTTGGATGCTTGGCAAGTGGTTCATATTTATGATGGTTGTCATATCCTGGAGTCATGTGATCACCTTTTGCAACCTTTCGACAAGCAATGTCAAGGGGGAAACCCAATTCACTTAACCACCATGTTACTATCTTAACTGCAGTGATTCACTTAACAACTGTGGCAAGAAAGGTCATAAAGTGGGGAAAACTCACTTAACAACTGTCTTACTTAGCAATCATGTGACCATGGAGATGCCGTAACACTTGTAAATGTGAAAAATGTTCACTTTTCTGTGTTGATGTAATTTCGAATGGTCACTAAACTATTGTAACTCGAGGACTACCAGTATATGAAATATAAATTGATATCATATATAGATCCACTGATACCTAGTTGATTGGACAATTTATTGAACTCTTATCCAGATTTTGATATTTTGGGGTTTGATTATTATCTTTTTTCTAACCAGCCCTGGGGAAAGAAGGAACCTAAGACAAGATAAGAAAGACCCATCTTTTTTTTCCCCAAAATGATTATTGTGCAATGGAATTTTTTCTCTACCACTGCATATGTTCTAGTCAGCTGCTACCAAGCTGTGGTTTCCAAGGCACATTTAACCATGTCAAGTAAAGATTTAGAAGCTGCTTTTGCACAGCATGCCAACTTTGGGCAAAATTAACTTTGTTTAAAGGGATGCGGTGGTTCAGTGGCTAAGACGCTGACCTTGTCAATCAGAAAGGACAGCAGTTCAGTGGTTCAAATCCCTAGAATGCCTGTGTAACGGAGTGAGCTCCCATTACTTGTCCCAGCTTCTGCCAACCTAGCAGTTCGAAAGCATGTAAAAATGCAAGTAGAAAAATAGGAATCACCTTTGGTGGGATGGTAACAGCATTCTGCATACCTTCAGCATTTAGCCATACTGGCCACATGACCACGGAGATGTCTTTAGACAGCACTGGCTATTTGGCTTTGAAACGGAGATGAGCACTGTCCCCTAGAGTCGGGAATAACTTGCACATATGTGCGAGGGAAACCTCTTTCCCTTTTACCTTGTTTAAGCTATTTTT